CAAAGCCAGGGCTGCATCCTTCCAGACAAAGCCGGGTGCCAGAGGGAAGCTGGTGCTGGCAGCTGGGGGAAGAAAGGCCTACTCTTGCATGAATTTCGTGCTTTGGGCTCCTAGTAACCAAATAATCGCCCAGAATCAATGTAAAGTGACAACTGTGATTAAATGTGGCAAAGGAAAGGTCCAAGAAGCAACAACAGGGCAACTTAGAGAATGCTCTGATGTGTGGACTGGAAAAGGCCTACCAGAGGGAGTGATGCATCAGCCGAGATTGCAAAAATGAAAGGGTGCTTCAGGCCCTAACCGGTTTGGCTCAGTGGATAGAGCGTCGGCCTGTGGACTCAAGGGTCTCTATCCCTCTCCCTTCCTCTCTGTAAAAAATCAATAAAATATATATTTTTTTAAAAAAGGGTGCTTCAGGGCGAAGAGGGAGAAGTGAGGATCCCAGGCAGAGAGAACATATGCAAAGGTCCAGAGGAAAGAGCGAGGCTGACACTTCAGAGCAATCAAATGAGGGCTGGGATGGAAGAGGTGCAGTGGAGGGCGGGACAAGGCGGTTGGTAGAGGCGGTTAAGCAAGGAAGTGACATATCAGATTCTTGTTGTGAAAGCTGTATGCTTTGGGGGGCAGTGATGGGGAAACCCAGGAGGAGGCTACTGCACTGGTCCACGTGAGAGATGATGGCAGGGGGAGCGTGGGGGAAGGGGCAGGAGGAAGAGAGACTGGAGCTGTAAAATTCCCAGGTTCCTGGGTGATCGAGAGGCCACAATGACCATCATGGAGGTTTCCCTGCTCACTGGCTTCTACCCCAACCATGATGACCTCAAACAGGTAATGTAGGTCCCACCCGCCCTCTGCCGAGCGGCATGGGTGCCCTGGCAGCATCCCATACTCAGCGTTAGCACGGGGCAGAGTCTAATCCCTCGTCAGTGACCCACGGTCACTTCTGGTTGCCTCCCTGCCTGGCCTTAGCCAAGTGCTGCACTGATTGTGCCTCAGTTTCCCCAACACTGGGGTGGGTTGGACAAAGACTGGAAGTGCTTAGAATTACTGCACATTGACGGGAGCTCCTAGGGCTGTGGGCTCAGGGGTCCCAGCGAGCCTGCAGCCCTCACCCTGTGCCCCAGCTCACGAGCGAGGTGGAGATGTATGCGTTCCAGTACGAGACCAAGACGAAATCCAGCGACAGCACCGTGGTCCTCTACCTGGAGAAGGTGAGGAAGGCCGGTGTCCACCACAGGCTTGTGGGCAGCCTGGTGGGCAGAGAACCACGGTCAGCAAGGTTCTCCTGGGTGGTGTTGCCAGAGAACCGTGCCATCTGAAGTCAGCGCCCAGTAGTCAAGGCCACGTGTGTGGTCAGTGGTTATGAGCAAGGCCTGTGGTCACTGGCCCTGGTCAGCTCAGACAGGACTCCCCTCCCCAGCTCTCCCACCAGGAAGACACGGTGCTGGGCTTCCGGGTCCACAGGATGCTGCCTGCGGAGTTTCTGCAGGCCGCCCAGGTCACGGTCTATGACTACTATGAGCCCTGTGAGCAGGGGGCTGGGGATGGAAGGGTGTCGGGAGGGGGAGAGGCCTGTGAAGGGCAGGGCCAAGAGGGAGGGTAGAGGAGCCGGGCAAGGAAGTAGGGCGTGGCTGAGAGGGGCCTGGGCATGGGGGGCAGGGGGCGACAAGAAGGGTGCCGGGAGGAATTTAAAGGGTGTGGCGACAGAGAGCGTGGCCTTTATGGATGGTCCGGTTGGTGGGTGTCCTGGAAAAGTTTGGGCGGAGCCTAGAAAGACCTGGGCGTGACCTGCTGGGAATGGGGTGGGCAGGGGGCGGG